AGCAATGGCGGATTTCACTTGTAAAGGCTGCAATACAATATAGAATTGAAGAATATTCCAACAAGAAGAATTGCAAGATTTCAGGAGAGTATTTTGGTCAGATTTAATATGAGATGATAGTAGTTATACTACCGGGAGTCCCAAAAAAAACTGGCACTGTTTGATTTGATGTAACGTAAAAGTTATAAAACCTATCGCAATGAAATAAAGATCATTACATTCAAAAAGGACTAACTAAGATTTTGATATATAACACTTGATTGTGAAGTCCGATGACTTTGAGTTCAGTTTCACTTTGAAAACGGAATTCTGGCATTTGAAACCAAGTTCTGGCATTTGAAAAGGGAGTTCTGGCATTTGAAAACCACGTTCTGCCATTTAAAAACCAAGTTCTGGCATTTGTAAAGGGAGTTCTGGCATTTGAAATGGGAGTTCTGGCATTTGTAAAGGGAGTTCTGGCATTTGCAAAGGGAGTTCTTGCATTTGAAAACTAAGTTCTGGCATTTGAAAAGGGAGTTCTGGCATTTGAAAAGGAAGTTCTGCCATTTGAAAAGGGCGTTTTGGCATTTGAAAAGGGAGTTCTGGCATTTGAATGCCATGATTGTATAATCCTTTATGCATTCTTTACACAAACGTACCTCATCAGTGAATTGTTGTGAGATTGCCTTTCTCATCATTGCAATGACAGTTGCTTTCTCCTCTCCAATCTACAAGTGGTCACAGCAATATATTCTTAGTATATAAATAAAGCCTGATAACAAAGGAAGGGTTTGCAAGGCATATGTAAATTTTGATCTTACCCTACATTTTACCAGCCACAAATTTGGATCTCTGCAAAGCAAGTGAAAAACTGGTCAAATTCAACAAGGTCATTTTACTGTTTTGTAATACAGTATAAATATCAGCGCATCTGTAAGAAGCAGTCATTTTGAAATCACTCATACATACTTTACTCCTGGTAATAAACTTTGTTGCTCAATTCCTCGAGGGTGATCGTAGTCCTTTTTGTTGTACCTGAAAATAAATTTATTTTGGAAATAGTGTTTAATATGTCACTGACTGATGGTTGCTCTAAGGTGCCCATACCAGAAACATTGATGATACTAATAGTAACACATACTTTCTTGATGTTTCCACATATTTCCTTCTGTAATATTCTTCCAAATCTTCATCACTTCGTTCCCTGGAGAACAAAGCAAAACAATGAATAATACTTCACAAAATGCAAGTCCTTTGTCAGTAATAGACTAGCCAGATTTTCATTTTCAAAACAATCGTTACTGTATAATTTTTTCTATACTTTTTTGTTCTGCACTGTTTAGCTATATCCATGATTTTGATTATCCAATGAATCTCTCTCACCCAAGCCTTTCCTCATATTATGTGCATTTTTGTGTGTTAATTAATGAATTATCTAGATGTTGACTATCTGGGCTTTACTCACTTCAACATCTGTTGCAGTCTTCTGGCTCCCTGTTATCAAGATATGAAGAAATTCTACACATCATTGAAAGCATTGGACAACTGTATTCAAGAGTTTTATGTGAAAATTTTGGCTAAAAGTAGTAAATGTTTATACATACAGATATATCTTCTGTGTGTTCTTCATCCCGTTCAGCTGAAAATGAAAAGATTTAAGATTGAATAATTCAGAATGCATAGGAAAAGTCAACAAAGCATTTTCTAACAGTTTATTCTGGAGCAGTATTCTGCAGTGGTGGGGAAACATTTTGAAGAAATCAAAAAGACGATTTAAAACTTACAGTGATCTTCAAATCCTTCAAAACCTTCTTCTGCCTCTGTGCCTTCTTCATCATCCTCATCAACTTCTACAATGTTTAAACACAAGAATATTGATTACAGTATTTGATCGCGGAAGTGGTGGAGATGGTGGTGCTGATGTTGATGATGGTAAATGTGCAAGTGTTGCTGATGATGGTGGTGCTAGGCTGGTGATGTTGGTGATGATGATGGTGATGGTGACATAATGATGGTGACATGATGATGGTGATGATGGTGATAATGATCATGACTAATGTTGATGATGGTAAATGTGGAAGTGTTGCTGATGATGGTGGTGCTAGGCTGGTGATATGGGTGATGGTGACATAATGATGGTGACATGATGATGGTGACATGATGATGGTGATGATGGTATGATGATGGTGATAATGATCATGACTAATGATGATGATGGTAAATGTGCAAGTGTTGCTGATGATGGTGGTGCTAGGCTGGTGATGTGGTGATGATAATGGTGACATAATGATGGTGACATGATGATGGTGATGATGGTGACATGATGATGGTGATGATGGAGATGATGGTGACATGATGATGATGATGATGGTGATGATGATGATGGTGATGACATGATGATGGTGACATGATGATGGTGATGATGGTGACATGATGGTGACATGATGATGGTGACATGATGATGGTGACATGATGATGGTGACATGATGATGGTGATGGTGACATGATGATGGTGATGGTGACATGATGATGGTGATGATGATGATGGTGATGATGGTGATGATGGTGACATGATGATGGTGACATAATGATGGTGACATGAGGATGGTGACATGATGGTGACATGATGATGGTGACATGATGATGGTGACATGATGGTGACATGATGATGGTGACATGATGGTGACATGATGATGGTGACATGATGGTGATAATGATCATGACTGATGATGATGATGGTAAATGTGCAAGTGCTGCTAATGATGGTGGTGCTAGTCTGGTGATAATGTTGGTGATGTGGTGATGATAATGGTGACATAATGATGGTGACATGATGATGGTGACATGATGATGGTGATAATGATCATGACTGATGATGATGGTGATCATACTTACAATGATGAAATAAAAAATCCTTCACAAGAATGAATTATAATACTACCTACAATGACACCTAACATTCAAAAAATTGTACAAAATCTTCTTGCAACAATAAACAATGACCTGCTTCAGCATCAATAAAAGCACTAGCTCCAGTCTTTCTTCGTTTCTTTCCCTTTCTGTCGTACTCATCTTCATCATCATCCTCCTCTTCTTCATCCTCAACATCTTCATCTTCGCCGTCGTCTTCTTCCGCTTCTTCCTCCATTGCTTCCTCCTATTTATTCACGAAGCAAAGGTACTGTTAGAGTTGTTGACTTGAGCCGTGTGACTGAACTCAAGTCGGGCTTGAGTTGCAATAGACCTTTCCCCTTTTGAGTGAAATTTTGATCTAGACAAGTCTGGACAAAAATTTCATCACAGCTTGAAAGAGCATCACAAAATTAGTAATATTCCGAAGTTTCGTTGCGAAATGTTGTAAAATGTGGATAATATAGCCTTGCGAAGTTTGCCGTTCTTCAGTCATTTTGTATTACAAATGGGAAATTGACAATCAGTTTGATCATCTGATTATCAATTTCCTGTTTGTAATGCAAAATGACAGAAAAACGGCAAACTTCGCAAGGCTATACTATCCGCATTTTACAACATTTCGCAACGAAACTTCGGAATATTACTAATTTTGTGATGCTCTTTCAAGCTGTGATGAAATTTTTGTCCAGGCATATCTAGATCAAAATTTCACTCATAAGGGGAAAGGTCTATTTTCGTGACTTCACTAGTTACACAGGGTGTCCACCCCTTTGGTGAAGGACTTTTCCAGGACTTTCAAGGACTTTTCCAGGATTTTCAAGGCCCTTTTTCAGGAAATTCAAGGACCTAGAACTGGAAAAAATCTTTGAAAATGGCACAGATTTTAGACTTTAACCAGCAAATAATTCACTTTATTCAGTAATTTTAATCAAAATCACTAATGTTGGCACAGCTGGAGGTTAAGGAAATTAATTCCAGGACTTTCAAGGACTTCTACTGATTTTCAAGGACTTTCCAGTCCTGGAATTTTTTTTCCAATTCAAGGACTTTCCAGGATTTTCAAGGCCTGTGGACACCCTGGTTACAGTCAATTTCATGAAACTTTCATCACAAATGTTCCAAACTTCGTTGTGAAGTTCGCTGCAAAGTTCAAAAGTTCATAATGAGATTCACAAACCAGTTTGTAAACTACGCATCTGATTGGCTTCTTTTACTTCAGTGACCAATCAGGGACTTTGTTTAGTGAATTCCAACATGAACTTCCAAACTTTGCAACAAACTTGCAAACTTCGCAACGAAGTTTGGGACATTTGTGGTGAAAGTTTTGTGAAATCAACTGTAATCAAATTAATGATTTGTGACTTAACTTGGACTCAAACAAAACAACTTGTACGTGACTTGGACAAGAAGTGACTATACATTTACTATTAAATTTTTTAAATCTCGGTCACACAATTTCCAAACTTTCCAGTCAGGGAAAGCTTATAAGCCCAAATTATTAAATCTCTGTCACAACTATATATTATAAAAAGGAATAAACAGTGTATAATGCAAGCCAGAATATAACATTTAAATCAACAGCAAGCAAGTTTTATTAAATACATAAACACATGTCTGATGTCTGTCTAGAAACCTAGCATGTTAATTGAGTATTTGAGTACCAAAGTACAGTCAAAATAGCGCGATTTCTCAAACAATTTTAGCTTTTATACTTGCCTCTTCATTCTCTGAGTAACCCTCTTCGCTATCTGACATTTTAGGGCAGTAGGAATGCAAAAAATCGAAGATTTTACACAAAAATTGTTGCTTTTCCTTTCTAAGTATTTTGTGAATATGTTATTTTTAAAAAGTCTCTCCCCCCGGCATAGTCTCTCCCCCCGGCATATTTTCCAACCATGAGGAAAATTCCTCGGTAAAAAGTTTAATATTCCTTAGTTGCAAAAAATTTCCTTAAATACTTCGACATTTGCTATGCAAAATTCCTGTTTTTAAGGATGACTCTTTAAAAGTAAGTCATGTGCAAAAAATTACTCCCCCGGACCGCCCGGATTAACAATATTTACGAAAGATTACGGAAAAAGCCGAACTTTGCCGAAGACGAATTCAAGATGGTGGTTATAAAATGCAGTAATAATGGCTTTTTTGCCGTTATTTGTGAAAAAATACTTCGTGTTTACGATTTACGGTAATGTAGATTAAATTAGCATACTTTTGTGTACTTGGATGTCCCATATTGGGAGAAAAATAAGTAAAACTGCTTCTGATAATAAGCCTTTTTGACAGCTCAGGAGTGGCAGGACCGCAGGGGTTAAATTATTATAATAATAATAATAATAATATTTAATATTTATATTGCGCAAATTAACATGTTATAGTATATGATCACATGTTAATTTGCGCAATATAAATATTAAATATTATTATTATTATTATTATTATAATTTAACCCCTGCGGTCCTGCCACTCCTGAGCTGTCAAAAAGGCTTATTATCAGAAGCAGTTTTACTTATTTTTCTCCCAATATGGGACATCCAAGTACACAAAAGTATGCGTCAAGAATTAATACAAGCATTTTAATCTACTGTCGTTTTTACGGGGGGATTGAATTTTAGAACTTGAAGGAGAAAGCTACCCCCAGTTCCATCAAACCACCCCATCCACACAGGGCTGTAGATAGACTCGATAATTGGGAGGGGGGTGTATATTTACATATTCATGTTCACATACTGTACAAACCCGTTGGGCAGGACACAAATGTATGAATATGCTCACCCCCCCAATTATCAGTTTAGCTACGGCCGTGCGTCCTCATTTATAAAGCTCCTAATTTTGTCTCAATGAAATAACATTTCCTGCATTCAGACAGTGTTTTTGAACAAAATTAGAATTGTTTTAAAACAGCTTTCTAATGGCATGTTGAAAAATATACAACGATCAAGTACAGCTAATTATTCGAAACATTTGCCACAATTTCTTCAAAGCGTATCGTGAAAAATATAAGTACGGGGAAAGAATGAGTGTCAAAACTCAATTTGAAGATTCGCAAATCTATCAATTCTCTTCACTATATAGGAATTCGTCTCTGGTTCATAAATTTTCACTCGCCACGGAAGAGTCGACAACCGATACGGCAGAATCTAAGGATGAGGAGAACCAATTATTAAACACAACATTCACATACGGTTGTATTTTCTCAAACTCGGGCAAACTTCTAGCGGCATTTGCTGACGGCAAAGACTTGGTCGTGTTGAGAACAGAAGATTGGAAACAAATTGGAAAAAGGTGTGAGATATCTCTGGATTATCCAAGGAGACATTTTTCACCAGAATCCAAGGAGACATTTTTCAAGTGAAATCATAAATATTTAAGTGCGGCTTTACAGTAAAAGTCTCGATATACCAACTACAATGAAACATGCAATTTCATTTTCCATGCAGGAGAGCATCATCCACACACACTTGAGATGTTGCTAGACTTTCGGAAAGCATAAGAAACACTCACCTGCGGCATGTCATGTGTTTCCAAAAGTCTCGCAACATCCCGCAAGCATGTATAACGCTATCCTGCATGCAAAATCATTTGGAAAATCATCCCACATGCATTACAACATTTATGTTTTGTTAACAGAAAGGTTGCAAAGAGACCAACAGCTGTGTTGTTCACCAACAAAGAAGATTGTGTTGTGATTAGCGATAAGGCCGGGGATGTTTACAGGTTGGAATATGAACTGGATATAACACATACACACCTTAAATTCAATTAAAATCTTGAACGATCAGTCACAGTGCACCCGGGTACCAGTTAAAGGGTTCCCAATAAAAGGCGGCAACTTGCAAATTTCGTTGTCTATGGCGTAGATAATCGCCGGTTGTTTCTTGAAATAACCCAAAAATATTTCCTCCTTATCACAGAAATATGGTTTTGGGAAGGTTTCTTGCTTTTAAAATATAAATTTTCAACAATATTCTTCATTAAATGTTTGGATAGTATATTTTGAAAGGCAGTTTTCCATTCATGCTCAATTTATGACTTGTAATTTTAATGGGAAACTCTCTCACATAAAGTGATTTTCAGAGAGGTTCTGCATGTATCAGTTCATGCTCTTCTTAATATTTTCTTATACTGTATAATACTGTATAATTTTTTCTATATTTTTTGTTCTGCACTGTTTAGCTATAAAATTGCGGAAGAAAACGGATTGTCCAATGAATCTCTTCTTCTTGGTCACGTGTCAATTATTCTTGATATGGTAAATTGCAATTTCGATATTTTTGAGAGATGTTTTTTTGTACGTGTTCAATAGGGTCATGTACAGTACGTAGTTGTATCAATCCACAGCTCTCTCGAAATTATTCTTAACGTTTGTCATTAGGCGATATCACGGGATGATAGATACATCCTCACTGCTGATCGTGACGAGAAGATACGTGTTAGCTGTTTCCCCAATTCCTACAATATCAAGTCTTTCTGTCTGGGGCATACAGAGTAAGGCTATATATAAATGATACAACAAGTCAAGTATTAAAAAGTCCTGAACTAAATTTAGACAGAATAGTTCTATCAGTTAGTCCTAGAGGTCTGGTAAGGTCCATCAAACTACCGGAGTAAACATAAACTAACTAGCTTTGTATACATATATTCATGTTCGATTCCCTTTGCGGTAAAGCAAAATTTTCAGTTTGCCTGGTGTGGTGACGCTCTGAGTAACATCAGCACAAATATATAAATTAACTTTTTTTACATTGGATAGTTCTATCAGTTCTAAACTGTTCTCCTTAGAGTCCAGTAAGGATCATGTCTTATTGTCCAGTGTTACTCAGGAGGAAACCTAAACTAACTTTATATACACTGGATAGTTATATCAGTTCTAAACTGTTCTCCTTAGAGTGCAGTAAGGATCATCTCTTATTGATCCAGTGTTACTATAGGAGAAAACCTAAACTTTAACTTTATTTACACTGGATAGTTCTATCAGTTCTAAAGTGTTCTCCTTGAGATCCAGTAAGGATCATCTCTTCTGATCTCACGTGCGGATTTATCACGAGTCTACTGGTGCATATTACAAGGCTTGATCCCGTTGGTAGACTAGAGGCTCTGCTGCTATATTAGTATGTTTAACAAATAATAATTATCTCTTTTTAAAGATACGTTTGGAAGATTGTCATCCCCGAAAAATTGCCGCAAATTTCGGTGACTGCGTCAGGGGTAGGGCCAGCTTTCTACAACAACCACATATTTCGTCATCACTAGAAAGTACAGTTCATACTGTATCGGTCAGCGAAAAAGTGAAGTCAAATTGTTTTATGCTTTGCACCTTAGGATGGTACGCTACGGTTTTGGGACTATAAACTTGGGAAAACAATCCATATGGAAACGTTTACTAATGTACAGTCTGATAAGGTGATTAAAGGCCGATTTACACGGCACAAATTTTGTGCAAAACTGTCTGTCGCATGTAAACCAGGTCCTGCGTACAACTTTAGTTGAACTGTGTGTAATTCAAGCGCGCACAACTCACCAGACGACAACGTAAGTGAGTTGTGTGTTTGATTTACACAGTACAACTCAAGTTGTAAGCAGGTTGCATGCGACAGTTTTAGGCAAAAGTTGTGTATTGTAAATCTATACCTTAATAACTCAAAATACGTTGTGTATGATATAACATTGTTAAAGTTTCCTATTTCGATTTCTCTAGTCAAGCAACGTTGTTTCGTGCTTAACATGCAGCAGAACAGAAAACATTGTGTTTGTTGGACTCGAAGGGTAAAACAAACTTTTTCTAATTCTTAGGTATTGTTTATATGGACAACCAGGCTGGCCCGGTTTTCCGAGATCTCAATTGAATTGAAAAAGGCGAGATCTCGACTACATCGGAATGGATATTTCTCCATATAGATACTCATTGTCATTGACCGGGATGCAGGCCCATTTGCCGCGATGAAAGCAGAGTGCCCGGGCAAAAACCACGCTGACTTTCGGTAGAGCGTTGACTAAGTCTTTTCATATGAGATAAAAGCAAAAACTGGTTAGATATTAAATGAAATAAAATCAACGTTTGAAAGTAGTACATTAATCATTATAAAACTAGTAGTGATTGACTAAACAATTCGTATTGACAGAGTATCATTATTCTTTCTTGAAGATCACTGTCGCTGTATGCTTTCAAAATAAATGAAAAAACGACCGTAGAACAGATTTCGATTGTTGATTTAACACTTGATGGTCCGCCATGTTGTTTGGCTGTCGACTATAGCAATCGTTTGTGGGTAGTTCAGTCCTATAAAGAACAACCTTTAGTGGTTTTCGAAATGTCTGCCGAGGGAGGAATCTATGAGGTTTGTCTTCAAAGCATTGGATAACTCTATCAGTTCTAAACTGTTTTCTGTAGAGGTATAGCATAATCTTAACTTTTTTACTGGATATAGCTCCATCATGCAGTTCTAAACTGTTCTTCCTAGAGGTCTAGTAAGAATCATCTGTTATTGATCCAGTGTTACTACAGACTAACAGAAGGAAACCTAAACTAACTTTATTTATACTGGATGGCTCTATATCAATTCTAGACTGTTCTCTGTGAAGCTCCAATAAAGGAATTTATATAGAAGTGCTTAAAAGTGCTTTTTTGATATTTTCTGAAATTGTTTGACATTAAAAATCGGACGGTAGTTGATTTTGTTGATATCTTACAAACTCGAAAGGTGGCATTTGAACGGTTTTACGAACCCTGTATTACGACATTACTCACATTACTATATACGTTAATTTAATTTTGTCATGTTTCAGTTTAAGAGGCAATCTATGAGTTCACTTCTAACAGCAGAAGACGTGGATCTTATTTATGGTTTGTATATATGTAACTCATGTAAGCTTTAGACTCCATAGCCATAACTGTATCACTTCCAAACTGTTCTTTCTAGAGATGCAGTAAGAGTCATCTGTTATTGATCCAGTGTTACTACAGGAGAAAACCTAAACTAAACCAACTTTATTTGTACTGGATAGCTCTATCAGTTTTAAACTGTTCTTCCTAGAGGTCCAGTAAGAATCATCTCTTATTGATCCAGTGTTACTACAGGAGGAGACCTAAACTAAACTCTATCTATACTGGATAGCTTTCAGGTGTATAAACCATTAATTATTATCTTTTAACATCAATGTCTATCTTTTTACTTTATATACAGAGGGCACAAAAAACCGTCCATGTTTACTGAATCTGAAAAAGAGCAAAGCAGACCCGGGCAGCTTGGATTATTTCGACAGAAAAAGAGATCGTATCGAAGCTAAACGGAAAAAAGACGGAACTGAATTGGAATCGAAGAAAATTAAAACTTGATTTAAAAAAAAAAAACTTGTTGTAAATATGGATAATTTATTGTGTGTTTTCATTGGTTTTCGTGTCATTTTTTACTACAAAGATACATTACATTTCTTCGTAGAATAATCCAGAATATTTACACATACCAAAAATCTTATCTTGGTTTTAGTGGTGTTTAATTACAGCTCATTAGCCTGCCTTATCACCCAGACACAACACGATACCTCATTAGCATTTTGACCGCCTTTTGTCGGCGTTATGGCTCCTTGACCGCAACGTGGAATTACGGTTGACTCATCTCAATAACTAAGCCAATACTATTTGCTTTCGGTTTAATAATCTCCAGTGATTATTAGAGTTTGTGTGAAATATGATCTGATATCGTCCAGTCCGTTGGAATGTTTACTGTTTGGGCGCAGATTTAGATCGAAACACAATGCATTAGATTCCGAAACAATGTCAACTTATGGCAGACATTTCGAAGAGCTAGCGAAAGCAATCGGTACCTTGGAAGTGTTCCCGAATATAATCAAAGAATTTACAAATTTTCTAAAGCAACGGTATCTAAAAAAACACAAGCCGTCTGAGCTCGTTTGGATCGACAGACTTTGTGGCAGATACGAGGACAACTGCAAGCATTATGCAAAGTTTATAAAACGTGTTGTTTCCAGCCAATTTTTGGCCAAATGCTTGCATGCAAAAGAGGAGGAAATTGGCGACCTTCTTAAAGAATTCAAGGCAAATATAAACGCAGCGAATAAAAGGTTGGATAACTTTCTTGGCGAAACTGACCGCAAGGAAGTCGTCGAGAAACTGGATGGCGAACTCAGTAAGATGGAAGCAGCACAACAGAAAAAGGACAAGAAAGACAAATACAAATTGAAATTCACTGACTGGTTGAAGGGTAAAGTCTTGGAGCAAGTCGGGGAAGTATTTGCTAAAGTCGTCGGGCCCCTTTGGGAAATGGTATACACCAATGCTTCGATGGCGATTCAGTCGGATTATGATCATGATGTGCTAAAGGCGGCGGTGGATAATTTACATGGTGCCTTGCCACAAATGGAGGAGAGCCTTAACTCGAATCGAAGTGCATTAAAAGGCATCAGTGATGTTTTGGAAGTGTTCTTGAAATTGCATGAGCAAAATCCGAAGGACGCTGGCTTAGCAAGAGAGATGATGACCCTTTCTCCGATGCAAAACAGCATTGACAATGCTTGCGACCGCATCACCACACTGGTGGAGAGTTTAAATAACGAGTAGGACTGCATATGTCTTTTATACTAACTGACATTATGTATGCTTACCTGCTTTGTATTTTAATTAGTTAATAGTAAGTTTTATCTCTGTTTAGAAACAAGGCTGAATGAATGACAGTCTAATTTTATTAAATTATCATGTAGTTTTACATTGTTTTAACTCAAAATAAAATTCTTATTGAATTACTACTAGTTATTTTATCAGTGTTTATATTTTTTAATGGTACCACATGTATTTACATATTCAGATATAAACTCACAACATGACAGAGGTCAACACCCACCCCACGGTCCCCACCCCCACCCCACCCCCATCAGAAAAAATACATACCTCCTACACATACATATTGTTTTCCTTATTCAACCAATGAAATGCAAGTACGACCCATAAATTTTATATCGAAAATTCCTAGAATTTTTTGAGAAATGACGCGAGCAATACTGGGAATCTGGAACCTACTTTCACTTCACTATAAAATTACAAAAACAAATATCGAAATATCAACAATGGCCGAGGAACAAGAAGGCCAAGTGAAAATGTTTTGTGGGGCTTGTCCAGACAGCCACTGTGGAAACCTACTATATTTTATGTCTCACGTGAATTCAGAAGTAGAATGCAGCGATTGTGGGCAAAAACATAACCCGAATTCGCTTCTGAACGTGAAAGAATCGACCGACTCGAACTTAGCTGTTGGGAACTTATTAAAGTCAATATTACTTTCCAACACTGCCGCGAAGAAAGGCTCAGAGCTGGTTAAGGTCCGGGGTTTGTCCAATTTTCATTGTAAAATAATTTCGCCTTTGCTAACGAGCTATGGCATGGACAAGAAGACGGGTAAAGCGAAGCTGTTATCAGAGTTAGGACAGGCTGAAGTTTTTAATTGTGCTGTCTTTGGTAATAGGGCCTTCCTTATTGAGAAAGAGCACTTGGATACACCCGGGTATGGAAGGGATGACACGGGGTCGTTAGGGTACCTCAATGACACCCTAGGGATGATCGAGAAGGCAAATGGCGGGGACTGTTTGGTACCCTTACATTCGGACGGCGACGGGCATTGCCTCGTTCACGCGATCTCACGAGCGGTCGTCGGCAGAGAGCTACTCTGGCACAGTCTACGACAAAACCTGAGAGACCATCTACAGCAAGAGAATGTGAAATATCAGGAATTATTCAGAGACTTTCTCGACACTAACGAGTGGGATGAAATAATTAACGAGGCGGACCCTAATTACCACCCACCCACTAACGAACCTTTCGGTTTACGTAATATCCATGTTTTCGGACTGGCAAATGTTCTGCACAGGCCAATAATTTTATTGGATAGCTTGGAAGGTATGCAATCCAGTGGTGATTACTCTGGAATATTTTTGCCAGTTTTAGTTCCGCCGGAGGAATGCAAGTCACAAGGATCATTAAATAAACCATTGGCTATTGCGTGGAGCAGCTTGGCAAGGAACCATTATGTACCTCTCGTCGGGATCAGAGATTCTACCCCACCTAAAATCCCACGCTCACTTTTGCCAAAAGCTTGGGGTGTACCAAATGAATTAGTCTCAACTTACATTGAATTCGACGAGAATGGCGGTTGTGAAATTGGTGGATCTCGGAGCTTACAGGATGGTTACGTTCAACGCCTGGTCTCTGCAATGAATGAACTTTTCTTTGAAAAGCACGAAGTCTCGCCCGAACTTGTGGCAGATGTCAATCAGTTTGTTTTCAAACCTTCAAATGCAGTTGGTATTTCAATCCCTGAAATTATTGAATTTACCCAAAACGCAGTCGAAAGTGAAAGTTTGTTTCGATGCTTGTCGTGTCAAGCGTTGAAAGAAGTCAAAGATATATGGCCGAGGTCTTGGAGGGAGCCTGGAGGACGGTGGTATACAAGGGCGCAGGAGTCCAATGAGGGGCTCATAGCCAATGCAGTGTATATGTTCACAGAAGCCCAAGGTGTGCATATCATGTATCAACCGAAATTTAACATGTTGATGCCTGTTTTTAGTGAGGTAATTTTGTAAGCAATCTTGTTTTTAATCGTTTAAGTGGCAATGTGCCCTACTTCATTATTTTACTCTGTCTAATGCCAGATGATTTTACTCATCAGTGGGAGAATGCTACCAATTAATGGGTTAATCAGACTATCTGCCTATGCACCCTGTGGCAGTGCGCCCTACTTTTATTATTGTAAGTGGCAATGCACCCAGATGCACCCTACTGTATTACTTTACTGTCTAATGCCAGATTATTTTACTCTGTCTAACGCCAGACAATTTTACTCATCAAGGGGAGAGTGTTTCCACTCAATGGGTTAAGTAAGGGCCTTCATTGCTTTGGGTGCCCTTTTTAAGCTGGGGGAAAGCAGGGCAAAGTGCCCCCCCCCCCTCTCAGCAGCCCTGTAGACACTAATATGTATTGTTGCCCACAGGATCATGATTGTTACCTCTGTAAAGGAGTGACTCGTCAAGTTTCTGCCGACGGTTCTGTCAGATACATGAATGGTGATCGGACATCAACCCAGTCCAACAATAGCAAGGGATGCACATGTGGTTTTAAACATTTCTGGGATGGTAATGAATATGATAATGTACCGAAAGTGTAAGTATGGCACTGTTCAATTGTTAAACTAAGTGAACTCCTGCAGCAAACTTATTAAAAGTTGTTTCAACAAAGATTTTTACATGCATAAAAACATATAATCCCTTTGAATCTAATGATGTTACAATGATTTTTTGAATTAGTATCGATGTTTCGTTGGAATGGAATGGGAAGAAGATAGAGGAACAAGTCTTTTGGTTTGATAATGAAAGTGACCCCAGCCTAAATTCCAATGTTTATGAAATGGCCACAAGTGTTGTTCAGAAACATTTTCCTGGCGAGTTTGGAAGTGAGACAGTTGTCAGGAGAGTTGTTGATAAAATACTGCGGGAGACTGAGTTAAAGAAGAATGAGGAAGGTATGTAATTAATGGTAGTGATGATGGTGGTTGTGGTGATGATGGTGGTGGTGGTTGTGGTGATGAAACGTATCCCTAACAATTGTTCCTTTTAGAATATCACTATAGCGGGAAATTTGCTAGATTAAGCGTTATGAGCACATAACAATTGGACTTGGCAGAAGCACTAGGGTGTGAGCATGTTATTTCAATAGGAAAAAACATTTAAAGTTACCTAATGCGTCATGACAAGAACGATTTGTTTCGCCATAGTTTTTGCATATATTTAAACCCCATACTCGGAACACATGTAAATTATGTTGGGTGTTCCGATTT